TCTCCCCCTGCAGAATTGCATTTGTTTCTGGATCTTGTGCAAAAAGGGCAGAATGTTCCTTGCATTGTCCTTCTCCCCCATCTATGCACTCCAAAGCAAGGGCAAGTCAAAGTCTGTCCCTTTATAGTGCTGGCTGAAAATGGTTAGTGACATGCAGGTACATGGGCATGTCACATTAAAAGGGAGTGTGCATTGTTTACGTGCTTCCATTTATGAGTTCACAAATGCACTGATGTGGAGGGGAAGTCAGATACTTTTAGCTTCACAACATCATTTAACTTCTACCCCCCCCTTCTAAAATAAGACATGGCTAATTTTAACATTGCAATTGTTAAACCATTGCTTTGTGTACTAGGTTGGAAATAAAGGTCAAAATCTTTGTTTACAGAGTTGAGAAATCTGCTCTCTCGCAGTGCAGGAACTGCCTGTGCTCAGACTGATACTGCACAATCTCTTTTAACTTATCACAAAGTGCTGTTCTCACTGCTCTTGTGCCCAGCTGGTGACGTTCCTTTTTGCTATCTCTCACTGTAATTATTCATCTCCCACTTCTGCAATGACTGATGGAAATCACCTGATTTTCTATCAGTTAGAGATTTTCTAGTCTGAGAAGGATTTTCTGGTCTGAGAAGGTCAGCTCAAGTTAGAGTGGTCCGAAAGGGCTAGAGACACATGGGGAAACAAGGGATCATAAAACAGATTTTTTTTCATTTAGAACCAAATTTCCCTTATATATTTTCATTCTAGCGTCAAAGTGTATCGTACAAAACAAAGCTGAGTATAGGTGGTAAAACTCCGAAACATTCATAAGCTCAATCCCAATGTGGCATTTGAAGTGCTTATATTGATTTTGGATCTTGTATAAGTTTCCCCATTCAATGATCCCCCATCACTAAGCCCCCAAGTCTCTGGTGGGGGGGGGAGGTGTCTTCTCTTCTGTCAAAAATATTTTTCAGGAAGGTTGGTGGCTGCCTGGGCCATACACAGAAAGCTATTGGAATGGGACCTGAAACCCTTTGCACTTGCCACCTGGCAAGGTGTCTAGTTAAAGAATCTCCATGTTTATCGCCCAGCTCATAGGTCTAGCTGTGAATTCTCTGCCTTCTTTGCTGGGAATTCTCTGCCTTCGTTGCAAAAAAAAAAAAAAAAAGAAAAGAAAAGAAAAAAAATCTTCCTAATTTGGCTAACAAAGATCTTCTCTCCTACAAAAAGCATTTCTGTTTCCCTAAAAGTATCAGGTTATTTTCAACCCATGCTGCACATAATAGGTGATCCACAATACTATTGAGACTGAGCTCACAGCATACTGATAACCTTCAAGTGGGGTCTCATATGAACATACATTTTGGGGCATTAATGCAAGGGCAGCCTCTGGAAGGACCAATAGGATGCAAGGGAAAAAATGAAAGCATAAGTTGAAGGGCAAAAGAAAATGAAGAGAGATGAAATTTGTCTAAACTCATTTCAAAGCTCATGAACACTTTGTATCCAATCCAAGTTGGTAAATATTTTTCTGCAAAGCACTTGGCTGAATTCCTGTAAACATAAGCTTCAGGAGGTAGCTGAGTTAGTCTGTACAGGATAAACTTAAAAAACAACAAGTAGTCTGGTAGCACTTTAAAGACTAACAAAACATGTAGATGGTATCATGAGCTTCATGGGCACAGCCCATACTTCAGATGACCGGAGTGTTGGATGTCCAGAACCAAAAATAAATAGGGAAGGGAGCGGGGAGTAAGAGGAAAAAATGGGAGGGGGGAAGAGGCAGTGGGTATATAAATATCAAAGGGAAAGCCAAGCTAGTATGTCACAGGAAAAACCTAAAGACTGGATAGTTAAAAGAAGCAGATAAGGACCATTAGTTAGCAATTAGAGAGGAAGAGTACTAACACCAGAATCTACACAGACAAAGAACAATTGGCACCTTCGTAGTTTGGGTTAGTTGATAATGTCCCAGACATCCAGTATCTAAATTCAGACCATTGGCATGTGAATTCAACTTGTGAATGAATTGTAGTTCCAATCCTTCCCTGTGTATTTGGCTTGTGGAAATGGTCTATAACAAAACAGCAACTTGAAGATCTCTTAATGAGTGACCAGGCAGATTAAAGTGTTCACCAACAGGTTTCTGTATGTTCATTTTATGGATATCTAATTTGCGTCCATTGATTCTTTTCCGTAGGGACTGGCTGTTTGTCCAATATATATTGCAGTGGAGCACTGCTGGCATTTGATGGCATAAATCACATTACTAGATGTGCAGTTAAATGAGCCTCTGATTTGGTAGTGCATGTGGATGGCTTCAGTGATGAATTTGCTTGTATAGATATGTGGGCAGAGTTGGCACTGGGGCTAATTGCAGGATTGGGTTCCTAGATGCTTATGATGTAGCTGTGTAGCACAGTTACCAGAAATAATTCATTTCAGGTTGGGGGGGGGGGTTCTGTAAGCGAGAATTGGTCTTTCCCCCAAGGCCTGGGAAATTGGCCTTTCCCCCAAGGCCTCTGAGAGTGAGGGATCATCTTCCAGGATAAGTCGTAGATTGCTGATAAGGTATTGGAGAGGTTTAAGTTGTGTAGGTAATGACAAATGGAATTCTGTTGTTTTCTCTTTTGGGTCTGTCTTGAAGTAGTTCATGTCTGGGTACTTTTCTGGCTCTGTTAATCTGTTTTTGCACTTCTCCAGATGGGTATTTCAGTTTTAGGAATGCTCACACATAAGCACACTACAGGTTGAACCTCCTTGGTCCAGCACCCTCAATAGCTGTCAGATCCCAGATGAGGGATTTTGCTTGACCTAGGGAGGTCATTTCTGGCCCCCGTGCCACTGCCCCCTTTCAGCTGGTTCCCCACTTGCTGCCCTGCCATCACTGCTGTGGCTCCTGCCCCTACCAGGCAGCCATGTACCAGGTTTCTCAGCCCTGCTGGGCAGCCCCGCAACTGCATGGTGGATGGCCCCACCAGCAGCTCCCTGCGGGCAGCCTGCTGCCCTGCCAACCCTTCAGGGCTCCCTGCTGCTAGCCCTCCACCGGGACTGTCTGGTCCTGCAACATCTGTACCGGATCACAGAGTCCCAATTTAGAGCGTTTCACCCTGTACTATCAGTCTACCACACTTTTCATATTTTAAGACAATAGTGTGAAATCCCAGGATCAATGGGAGTTTTGTCACAGACTTCACCCACTATAAATCAGCCTTTACCAAGGTTTACTAGTTTCTCTTACATCTTTTTTGCAGTTTGCGAACAGAGGCTATGTGTAGTAGTGGACATGTTTAGATGTGTCCTCATTCCATGATGATTAAAATGTCATCTGCCCTCACTGTCCTTTCAGTATCTATCTTTCTTTGTAGAGAAAAGGAGCAAGATGTGTGGTACAATACAGAAAGGATGCAGCACATGACTATATTACCTTTCATTCCCTTTTTAAAATGAAATTTCTTTGAGATTAGAACTAGCTTTTGACTTTATTTCCACCCAGCGATGTCAAGCAACAATTACTTTGTTAAAAGTAGCCCGCTTATTTCAGACGGTGTCGAAAGGAAAAGAAAATGCCCACTGTTGGAAGACATGCAGACCTTTTAGGGAGAAATGACAAGGCAGGGTCCATACGTGGTGCAAGATTGATTTTAATGGAACTATAATGGATCTGGTCTCAATCAGTATATTCGTTCAAAGGATCTTTATTTTCATTTTTTTCTGGATCATGGAATACAATTGAGTAAGGACTCTTTAGTCTTTTCTTTAAAGAAAGCATTTGGAGTATGATTAGGCCATAAAGTTTGTTTTAGAAGACTACCAACTTTTATCAGATAAGCACAGTTAAATTTGATCACGCTTCATCATGACCAAAGCAAACACTGAATGTTTATGCCCAGAAATATTCAAATGTTAACATTTCCTAGTTTCCCCATCCTCTCTCTCCCAAACAAACTAACATAGCTTATTCAGTTTCTTCCAAAAAGATGCAACTGTTGTGATGTTGTGTTTCATTGTAACCCATCTGCTGCTTAGGCCAGATATGCATTTTCTGGATGCAATCTGTTGGTTCCCAATGGTTTACTACATGGTGGGCTCTATTGACAAGTAGGTAAAATAATCCTCAGAACTCTAAACATTGTAGTGTTCAGTGGTTTGTCATGTGCTGTGTTTTGCTACTGCATGTTTATGTTTGGTGATGATACATGGAAAATATCCTTGCATGCATGGTTTGTGTCAAAGGTGCTGACATTTAGAATTTCAAATTTCTGCCAAAGGATTTCAATACAAAAAATGCTCATTTTAGGCTTAACTTTAAAATTTGTTTGACCCCAGTCCAGTAAGCCTTTGGCACAAGGACTGCAAAGATTTAAGTGTGTGCTAAAAAGGAACCTTTCAGTTCTCACTCATAGCATCCATCTGGGAAATGACAGTACAGCACTTTGGTGCACACTGCTATTCACCCACCATATTCCAAACTGCAGGGCAATATAGACAAGCCATTCGGTTTGTACCAAACCTTTGAAATGGATTTTTTATTTCAGTATGTGATTTAAATGTGCACATACAGTGGAAGAAAGTGGTTTAAGCAGCAGTGTTAAAACAGAATTTCCTTTAACCAACATTTTTTCTACTCCCTACAAGATTCAGCTACTTGACAGAAAAGGATGGAGGTATGTCTAACCATACAAATGTGAATGAGAATAGGCAAATGAAAGATGTATCTGAGTTATGAGTGAAGATGTAGAAAAATATTGAGGCATTGATCCAGCTGCTGTGAACTGTTATCCCTTTAATGGATATATGATTATTTTATACCATATGCGGCTCTGTCCTTTTAGTTTTAATTTCCATTCACTACTCTGTGGTTTTTCATGGGAAACATCCAGAGAAATGGTCAGAAGAAAACTCTGAGATTGATCAAAATAGGGCCTCAATTAGCAGATTTGATCTACAATGTTCCATATGTAAGTCATGTCTAATATGTATTGTGAATACTGCCCATGGACTGTATATAACATCTGTCTAAGAAAAAGGCAAAATTAGGATAATAGATATGTTTGATAAGGGACTATTTTATGTATCTATCTATTTATTTATTTATTTATTTATTTTGCTTTTAATAATTAGGAAGAAAGTCAGTATCTGGTCATTTTTTAAAAGTGCTTGAGTGTAGTAGCAGTAAGTTAACTAAAACATTTCTAAACTTATTCAGCTGTGAAAACTAGAACAACTGAGATATTGTCAAAATATGAAAACTTTGTTATATGCAGTTGTGCTACTGGTAGTCACGAGGGCTATATTTTCAAAGGTCAACACAATGGTAGAATGCAGAATGAAATTTAGTTTATTAAGAAAAAGATTAGAGTTTGATATATGAGCAGGTTAAATGCATACCAATAGGTACCAATGACATTAAATTTCATTACCAACTATATATCTCTCAAACTATTAATATAGAATATTATTAAAATCGATATTGGAAATTTCAAAGAGCTGGATAGGATATGGTTTTCTTGTCCCACAAGAACTGTGAAGTCCAATTGGCATGAAAAGTCAAGGTCTTGTTTCCTTGTGAACTGAAAATCTGATTTTTTTTAATAAAATAAAAACATTTTGTTTTAATTTCAAGTTTTTTTAATTTTGGCATTCATTTCTAAGGTTAAACAATTTTAGTTTGCAATGTAAGTTGTTTCAAACAAAAAATATTTTCTATTAAAAAAGTGTTAAATATGAAATTCCAACAATTTTGAATTTTTTTCAAAAAAATTTAAGTTGAAAGTTTGTCAAAATTGACCCTATTATACAAATGATTCTGGATTAAAGAAATTAGCATTTTCTGATGAAAAATATTTACCTACAACCTCCCCCCCATTCAGAGTTTATGCATTTAGCTCTTAACACAATTGCTGTTAAAGACAATGGAAAGACTATTTGCTTAACTGGAAACTAGATTGGAGTAATGGTGTGTAACAGCAGAAATAGAATATAGTTTTAGACAGAAGAGCAAATATATTGAATGGTAAATAGATATGTTTACATTTTAACTAAGCTTACAGAAAATGTATTAAACAACCATAAAAACATATCTGTTATATCGTTATATGGGCAGTAAGATCAAGAGTAAGACAGAGATGTAGCTGTGTTAGTCTGGTCTTGCTGAAACAAAAGACAGGACTATGCTGCACTTTAAAGACTAACAAGATGGTTTATTAGGTGATGAGCTTTCATGGGCCAACTTCCTCAGATCAAATTGTGGAAGAAAATTGGCATGGTTAGAAAATAAAAGCCGTTTTAGAAAAATCCTGTAAACCTCATTTTTTGAGGAGTACAGGATCTTTCGAAAAAGGCTTCTATTTTCGAAGGAAATAGACTACAGTTTCACTAGACTACAGTTTCACTTTCGAAATAGTGCTTTTTTGAAAAAGCACCAATTTCAAAGTGTCTAATTTACATCCCTCTGTCGAAAGAGGGATATAGTCTAGACACAGCCCTAGTGTCCTATTACTTTTTCTGATCAACATTGTTTAGTTTTTCTTCCACAAAGTGAAATATCGATTTCATTAAAATCCAAAATTATAATATTTTTTTGTGGACTACATTTCCCATGATGTTCCCTGTCCATAAACTTTCCATGATTTGCCATCTTTACTTTCTGCATGAAAAATATATTTATGCACCATAGGTGATTTAGTCTGACTAGGGAGCCTAGCCCATAGAGGAGAACAGGGCAGGCAGCTAAACTGCAATTCCATGAGGTCCCATGATAGTATTTCTAAACTGAAATATTTTTATTTTCAGCCAAAATATTTCAGTACTTTAATTCTGACCATAACATTTAAGTTTTCTGTAGGGTGGGATTGGGAGGAACAAACAAAACTCACCATGGATTTTTTGTTGTTGTTGTCAAACCTACCTAATTCAGAGATTATCTGGGCACATTTAAGAGGAAATGGCTGAAGTTCATTTATAACTATGGTAGTTGATTTTGAAACATAATCCATTATATATATTTATTTAATTCACGCATGGCTGAGCACTGGTTAAATTCAAGGCTTCCGGATTTTACGCAATGCCTTTTGGCCCCAAACTAAGCATATGCATCAGGCTGATGTCTCAAACCATATCCTTCTGGGTATGTCTACACTACAGCACTAATTCGAACTAACTTAGTTCGAATTACTTAATTCGAACTAGGTAAACCTCATTCTACGAGGACTAACGCCTAGTTCGAATTAAGCGCTCCGCTAGTTCGAATTAAGCGCTCCGCTAGTTCGAATTAAGCGCTCCGCTAGTTCGAATTAAGCGCTCCGCTAGTTCGAATTAAGCGCTCCGCTAGTTCGAATTAAGCGCTCCGCTAGTTCGAATTAAGCGCTCCGCTAGTTCGAATTAAGCGCTCCGCTAGTTCGAATTAAGCGCTCCGCTAGTTCGAATTAAGCGCTCCGCTAGTTCGAATTAAGCGCTCCGCTAGTTCGAATTAAGCGCTCCGCTAGTTCGAATTAAGCGCTCCGCTAGTTCGAATTAAGCGCTCCGCTAGTTCGAATTAAGCGCTCCGCTAGTTCGAATTAAGCGCTCCGCTAGTTCGAATTAAGCGCTCCGCTAGTTCGAATTAAGCGCTCCGCTAGTTCGAATTAAGCGCTCCGCTAGTTCGAATTAAGCGCTCCGCTAGTTCGAATTAAGCGCTCCGCTAGTTCGAATTAAGCGCTCCGCTAGTTCGAATTAAGCGCTCCGCTAGTTCGAATTAAGCGCTCCGCTAGTTCGAATTAAGCGCTCCGCTAGTTCGAATTAAGCGCTCCGCTAGTTCGAATTAAGCGCTCCGCTAGTTCGAATTAAGCGCTCCGCTAGTTCGAATTAAGCGCTCCGCTAGTTCGAATTAAGCGCTCCGCTAGTTCGAATTAAGCGCTCCGCTAGTTCGAATTAAGCGCTCCGCTAGTTCGAATTAAGCGCTCCGCTAGTTCGAATTAAGCGCTCCGCTAGTTCGAATTAAGCGCTCCGCTAGTTCGAATTAAGCGCTCCGCTAGTTCGAATTAAGCGCTCCGCTAGTTCGAATTAAGCGCTCCGCTAGTTCGAATTAAGCGCTCCGCTAGTTCGAATTAAGCGCTCCGCTAGTTCGAATTAAGCGCTCCGCTAGTTCGAATTAAGCGCTCCGCTAGTTCGAATTAAGCGCTCCGCTAGTTCGAATTAAGCGCTCCGCTAGTTCGAATTAAGCGCTCCGCTAGTTCGAATTAAGCGCTCCGCTAGTTCGAATTAAGCGCTCCGCTAGTTCGAATTAAGCGCTCCGCTAGTTCGAATTAAGCGCTCCGCTAGTTCGAATTAAGCGCTCCGCTAGTTCGAATTAAGCGCTCCGCTAGTTCGAATTAAGCGCTCCGCTAGTTCGAATTAAGCGCTCCGCTAGTTCGAATTAAGCGCTCCGCTAGTTCGAATTAAGCGCTCCGCTAGTTCGAATTAAGCGCTCCGCTAGTTCGAATTAAGCGCTCCGCTAGTTCGAATTAAGCGCTCCGCTAGTTCGAATTAAGCGCTCCGCTAGTTCGAATTAAGCGCTCCGCTAGTTCGAATTAAGCGCTCCGCTAGTTCGAATTAAGCGCTCCGCTAGTTCGAATTAAGCGCTCCGCTAGTTCGAATTAAGCGCTCCGCTAGTTCGAATTAAGCGCTCCGCTAGTTCGAATTAAGCGCTCCGCTAGTTCGAATTAAGCGCTCCGCTAGTTCGAATTAAGCGCTCCGCTAGTTCGAATTAAGCGCTCCGCTAGTTCGAATTAAGCGCTCCGCTAGTTCGAATTAAGCGCTCCGCTAGTTCGAATTAAGCGCTCCGCTAGTTCGAATTAAGCGCTCCGCTAGTTCGAATTAAGCGCTCCGCTAGTTCGAATTAAGTAATTCGAACTAAGTTAGTTCGAATTAGTGCTGTAGTGTAGACATACCCTCTCAGTTTAAGGAAATATTTTGAACAGATTCATTCTGCTGCCCTCGCTGCAACGTATAAAAGGCAGACAAACCTAGACAAATCTAATTAATCTTCGGGCTCTAGCCTATAGCTAATGAGCTCCAAAAAAGAACAAAAGTATTTAAAATAGACCCTATAGTATGAGCCTAATCTAATACCCTTCATGGCT